TTGTACAATAATTAGAAATTATAACACGTAAATGTACACGTATGTAAATAACAATTTTGGGAATCACACATGTGTGATATAATAAATTATTTTTTTAAATACATATATGTATGTATGTGCGAATAATTAATAAAAATATAATATAGTACAAAAAGCTAATGATTTTTCACACCTTTGTTTGTCATTTTATGGTTGAGTATTTAGCGTGCGAAATTTTAATCTCAATCAAATTGTTATATGTGTACTAAATTGAATAAAAAATAAGAAATGACTTTAAATTTTATTTTGATTGTAAAAATTATTAAAATTAAATAAAAAACTTCTGAACTTTAATTATTGTTTAAAATTTTCTTCATATGAAAGTACAGACTTTTTATCTTTTAATACAGAATTTATTCAATGAATTGTAGTTCCTTTTCCTACGTTATACATAAGATTTTCATCATCACTTCCTTATTCTGATTATATATGTAATTACCTTTTTTTTCATAAATGACGCTAAAAAATTTAATTTTAACAAATGATAAATAATCGAATTTTTTCCGATTTATGTAAATTCTTAATATGAGAATGTATAATTTTAGTTTCTTGAGGTGATTCATATATATATATATATACATAATATTATATTATGTGTTATATTTGAATTCAAAAGAGTTTTTAATTGCTGAATTTCGTATTAAATACCGAATTGCTGTAATTCAAAGAACACAATAAGTTTTTAAGGTTAATTCTTAAGTTAAAACTATGTGCACAAGCCCTAAATTTAAAAACAGTTTGGCATATATTTTTAAAAATTAATAATGTTCTAAAAAAAAACACCATTTCTTTTTATCATACCTTTTTATTTAAGTACACACATATTTCAGGAAATAATTTCATAAAACGTAAAACATAAAAAAATTGTTAATTGCTATGAAAGTCATTTGCAAATCAAAAAAAATATATTGGATTACAATAAAGTATAAATGACTTTTATAACAGTATACTGACTGCAATAACAGTCATTTACGTCAACAATAATTATTTAAAAATTTTATTGTTATCAAACAATAACAATTATTTTGCAACAAAATAAACTCTGTCTTTTTTAATGAAATATGGATTTACATACATGTGCACATTTATTTGTTTAAAATTGCAATTATGGCATCAATTGATTTTAAAAATAATTACAATTAATTTAACAATATTTTTTTTTAAATAAAATATTATACAAATAAACAAGTGTTTTAAACCTTATTACAGTATTTCACATCTTGGAATGTAATATTTAAATAAATTTTAAATAATTATTTTACCTTCTTGTTTTTTATATGAAAATTAATTAATAAAAAAAATTTTGTAAATATTTTTTGACAAAACGAATATTTATATAATTGATAACGGTGTATAAATAAATGTTAAAAATTTATTTATTAAAAAGACTCGTAATTTGCTCGAATTTTTCTCGAACAGGAATCGAAATTTGACACTAAAATTTGAGTTATTTTTATGTCTTTTATTTATTCATTTATATTATAACGCATAATGGCATGCCATTATATAATAAGCAAAAGTTTACTAGAACAATATACAAAAAAATTACGCAACACTTTGTAACTCTTCATGTATGCAACTAATTATATAGTTTAAAAAAATTGTTGTTAAACCAGTGAATTTTAATTTTCAAATTAAAAATTATATAATTCGAAATGTTACTATATGACATCCATATCTACTGTTATAATAATTTCATATTTGTCAAGAGAAATTAAACTCATATAAATAGTTTCAAAAATTGTTTTTTCTTTTTTTGATATTTTCAAAAATAATTGCATTTAAAAGACATTTTATTTTGTATTTTATATGATTGTTAAAATCTTAAACAATGGAAAACTAAAATGAAATTAATTATAAATTAATTATCTTTCATATAATTTAATAACGTGACATAAATTGTAATGTACTTGAATTTAATAATTGAATATTAGATAATTGAATTGAGTCTTTTATTTTTTGTTATTTTTAATTTTTAAAAATTAGGTGCATCATATTGACATACATACATTCAGAACATAAGCATTATATGCACAATGCAAAGCAATATTAAATTAAAATTACATATGTTATGTAATATTTGTATTATATTCGCATATAATATATTGTACATATATTAAGAAATGACGAATTTTCATTTAAAATTTGTTATTCTCTTTTAAATAATAATTAATTTTAACAAAACAATAAATTTTTTTTCTATTTAATTATATACTAAAATTAAATAAATAATATTTATTTTATATGGGGAATTTTTGACATTTAATTGTTTATCTTTTTGGCATACGATATATTTAAAATAAATAGACTGTCATAATGCCAGTTAGAAAAGATCCTATTGTATTTTATTAATTTACTCTTCACAAAATTTAGATTCAAATATAATTGCCATCAAAATGACATTTAATTTAAAATACCCAGCTAGTCTCAAATTTTCTTATACTCTATATAAATAATTTGCAGTAATAAACTTAAAATTACTTTTACAACATATATAGCACTTACGCATTTATCTTGGAAGTGTTGTTATTTTATAAAATTATAAAATTATAAAATCTTTTAAAAATATTTCAATTCCATATTTCTACTCCATATTCAGTATATACAAATTAGAGAACTATAAATTTTATAATATTATATAATATAGCAAATCAATATTGATTTCTTGAATAGTCGTCAATTATTGTCTCGCCATAATATATTTCAATGCTACAAAAGTAAACAAAAATTAAACTAATTTTTTTTAACTAATTATAATTTAAAACAATATTTATTTCTTATGTAATTTAATTAAGTATTACATAAATCTGTTTATTTTAAATAACAACATTATTATTATGTTTACATATTTGCAGATTGTTGCAATTTAAAAATAAAATATTTATAATAATTAAATAGTAAAATTGTATTTAAATTTGAAAAATAGCAAATAAGATAAAATATGAAAATGGAACATATGTTTTCAACATAATATTTACTTAGTAAATTACAAAATATGTTTTTATTTTATTTTAATATAACAAAAAAATAATAAAAACGCAATTAATATTAATTATAATTCAAATTAATAGCAGTATAAAAGTATTAATAAATGAATAATATTATTAAATGTTATATTTTATAGTTATATTACTCAATTGCTTTTTCACTTTGTTTCTCTAAATTACTTTTTTTTCATACTACTTAATACAAGTAACATTTGCAAATCTATGTCATATATTTACTCGTGAAATGTTGCTATTTCAATATCAAATATTCAAATTTGCAACCGGAAATTATTGCAATTGGAATTTCTTAGCTAGTCTATATTTTTTTTGGAGATTTTGAGTTCGCTGAATTAACAGACCAAATAACTTTAAATAATAACAGTAACTGCAAGTCAACCTCCTTACATGTTAAATCTGAATTGATTAATTAATATACTTACTTAGTCTTATAAAAAGAAACCTTACTTTCATAAAAAATCATTTAAAAATTAATGGAACTCATGTAATTTTTGCTTGTTGCTAATATAGAAGAATACTTGAGTCGATTTTGTATTAAGAAAATGTTTTAGCTTGTAGGTACAGATAATATTCATTTCGTTCTCTTCAAAAAATATTGATTCAACCAAAATTTACCGCTAAAATAATTTTATTAGTTTTATAACAAAAATTTATAAACTCTTCAATAAAAAGTAATATTAAGCAGAATTAAAAGAATTAAAAAGCAGAATTTAAACCAAAAATCTCATTTCATATTAAACATTGTAAAATATTTTTTAATATAAAAATTATTTACTTTAAAAAAAAGTTTTCTAAATTCCGGAAGCTCACCTCATACATTTATTATGTGTGTGTAATATTTGTATATATAAGTTTGAAGGTAAAACAATTTTAACTTCAATTTCCTTAAAATATCATCAAATTTTGATATTACAGTTTTTGGGATGAATTATGTGTTTGTGTGCATGTAATAATACAAAATACTTAAATTTAACAAATTTAAACTAGTAAAAATTCTGACATGTTAGTTCTAGATTTTAAATCGATAAATATTTTGATAGTTGTACAAAATATAATGTACTTGCATATGTGTTAGAAACTATTATACATTTTATTGTATGGCAGACCAACATGTTATTAATTTTAAACACATAATTATTTTATTTCCCATAATATTAGAAAAATAAAAATTTCTTTTTCTAAATTCAATTGTTTTATTTTTTAAAAAGTACAAGTAATATGTGTGGGATTTTTCTAGTAAGTTCTTAAATTATTTTCTATATATTGAAAAGACAATTTTTAGCGTCTACTTTTTTTGTTTCTTTTTTTCAATTGAAAATTTATTATAAAATTAAGAAAAATAATTTCAATTCAATTTTTTTGTTTTTCTATAATATATCTTAGGTAATTTAACTTTACTGTAATTAAAATAGTCATATATGTTCTTAATTTTACAATTGTTAATATTAAGTAGTTAAAAGACTAACAATATTGCAGTATGTTATGAAAAAAATGAAAAATAGATTTTGTTAAATTATTCTCGCGTCATGTTAAAATCGTAACAGAAAAAATACGTTCATTTTTAAGTGAAATTATGTAAAACGTTAATTAATAGTTATAGATTAGGGTGTAATTGTTATTGCTGTAATCTTTATTGTCTAACATATGTTTTCTTTGTGTTTTTTCTTATTGTTAATAAAATATATGGAAAAATGAAGATACCGGAAGCAAGAGAACAAATTATTTTCTTTATAATTTTTATTCTTTATTCTATAATTTATTATTTATTTATATTATAATTTATGTGGTTTTATTATTTTCACTCTTACAACTTCTAGTATAAAATTTATTGTTGACTTCTCATGTTGTTTATTTTTCGAAAATTAAGAGTGAAATTGTAAAATTAATTTTGTTTTTCTTGCAATTTTAATTTAAATATTTGCTTTAATGTGAACATTTATAATTTTATCATTTCAGTTAACTCCGAAATTGGAAAAATTTTGAGAAATTAAAAATGACTGCTGGATCAGGATATAAAAATGATGGATATGATGGCGATATGCCAGTTAAGGTTTGTAGAACTAAAGACAATGAAGATGCATTAATATGTAGAATTCTGCTTTTGCTTAATTCATATAATTTCTAAAAAATCACATATAATTAAATATAACTTTCATAAATTAATTTCTAGAGTATTGAGACTTTGAAATTATCCAACTAATTTCTAAAACAAAATTTCATTGTATTTGTACATATGTTATAAAAATAAAACAAAATCTTTTTCTAATTAAAAATTTATTTTTTGAAAGCACTGTGCTTCATAAATAAAAAATTTTTGCAAATTCGAAAAATTGCATATTTATTGGCGTGTGATTATTAAATTTTTTCAGATTAACAAAATTTAAAATTTTAAGCAACCAGAGCCTAAAATTATTGTTTGTCTATTATAAATGTAAAATCAAATACTTCAAATTTTTATTTATGAAATTTTGTAATAACTATAATCTAAAATTTTTTTTTTAAAATGAGTTATTTTTTTCGAATTTCAAGACTGTATTTATATATTAGATGCAATTATGCAAGCAATTACCTGCTAATATCGTTTTAATACATAAAAATTAATAATTAGTAAAAATACTAATTTTATTTATTTTAAATTATAGCCAAAGAAAAGTTTAGCAGAAACGGCATCACTTCGTGAAAAAGTTTTATTGAGCCCTAAAGAAAAATGGCGGATCTTAAAGAATATATCAATTATTTCATTTGCTTTTATGGTACAATTTACAGCATTTCAGGTGAGATTTAAAATTAATATTTGATTTATGTACATACATACATACATACATACATATGTGAAAAAATAAAAATTTAACAAATAAAAATTTTTTTGTCAAATAGGGTATAGCAAATTTACAATCATCAATTAATGCTACCGATGGATTAGGAACTGTTTCTTTGAGTGCTGTTTATGCTGCACTTGTAGTTTCATGTATATTTTTACCAACATTAATTATTCGGCGGTTGACTGTAAAATGGACATTAGTATGCAGTATGTTATGTTATTTACCCTATATTGGATTACAGCTATTCCCAAAGTAAGAATTTTTTTTAATTAACATACACAATACATCACTTAAATATCACATTTTATTGAAGAAATTGTCTAATGAATTCTTATTAAATCTTTTTAGGTTTTACACATTGGTACCAGCTGGTATTCTTGTAGGTTTAGGCGCTGCTCCTATGTGGGCATCAAAAGCTACATATTTGACTCAAGTTGGTCAAGTTTATGCCAAAATTACAGATCAGCCAATTGATGCAATTATTGTTAGATTCTTTGGCTTCTTCTTCTTGGCATGGCAAACCGCAGAACTCTGGGGAAATTTGATATCAAGTTTAGGTATAATTTTATTTTAAAAAATAACTAGTTAAGCAATATATTTTTGTATGTTCAAGATAAGTGTTTAATTTTTTATTTAAATTATTTCAGTATTATCAACTGGAGCACATGGTGGATCGTCTGGTAATGATTCTCAAAGTGATGAAGATCTTGAAAGTTGTGGAGCTAATTTCTGTGCAGTACAATCTCATGGTAATATAGAAAGACCACCAGAAGATGAAATTTTCGAAATTACAATAATTTATTTGGCGTGTATTGTTGCTGCTGTCGCAACAATTGCCTTTTTATTGGATCCTCTATCAAGGTACGTTATTATTTAACATTAAATTTGAATTAACATTAAAAAGTTTACAAATGATTAACAATAAAAATAATTTAACCCTTATTTAATATTAGATATGGTGAAAAACGTAAAGGATCACAATCAGCTCAAGAACTTTCTGGTATTGAATTATTATCAGCGACATTCCATCAAATGAAAAAAGCAAATCAACAACTTTTAATACCAATTACTGTATTTATTGGTATGGAACAAGCTTTTATTGGTGCTGACTTTACACAAGCATTTGTATCATGTGCTTTAGGAGTTCATCAAATTGGTTATGTTATGATTTGTTTTGGTGTTGTTAATGCAATCTGTTCAATATTATTTGGTTCAATTATGAAATATATTGGTAGAATACCAATTATTACATTAGGAGCAATTGTTCATTTTACAATTATTACTGTAATGTTATTCTGGCGACCACATCCAAGTCAACCATTAATATTCTTTGCTATGTCAGGATTATGGGGTGTTGGTGATGCTGTATGGCAAACACAAATCAATGGTTTATATGGTCTTCTATTTAGAAGAAATAAAGAAGCAGCATTCTCAAATTATAGATTATGGGAGTCAATTGGTTTTGTTGTTGCATATGCATATGCAACAACATTATGTGCTAATATGAAATTATATATTTTATTAGCTGTGATTACCTTAGGTGTATTAGGCTATGTTATTGTTGAAATTAGATATAGAAGAAAGGTAAGTTATAAGATAAAATAAAGTTTTGTAAGACATTTAAGACATTTATTATAAATATTTGCCTCGCATTATATTAAAGACAATTTGTTGAAAGCCAAATTTTGTTATATTTCACATTTTATAAATCATTTATAATTCCGCTGCCATCTAATGTGCATAGCACATTGCAGCAAATAATTTAAATTTTTCAATTATTAGCCCAATTAAAACTTAAATTTTAAAATTTTAAATAATATTTCAAATGAATATCGTAGAATATATTTTACATACACAATGCCTAATGCATTCTTGCATGAGGCAGATAGTATAAATCTTTACGATAATGCTGAAATTATTCTCAATTCTTAAAATTATATTGGAAATTAAATTATCGCAGTTAATAACAATAATTTATTTTTTCTTTTTAATTTTAGCAAAAGAGAATTAAGAAACAAGAAGAAGAGGCAGCAAAGAAACCTATCGATGATATTGATCCTAAAACAACAATACCTGCACCATTACCAATTGATGCAGTCGAAGAAACTGATGATGAAATGGATGATTTAGAAGAAGATATTGTTGTTACACATTTTTAGGATACATAAAACAAAGATGAAAATCATATTATACATATGTATATATATATAGAATATATACATACATATACATACATATACATACATATTTTTATAAACAAGTTCATTAAAATATTATTATTAATTATATAATTTAAGAATTTATTTTATATTGTACATCCATTATAAATTCTTTCTATTGTAAATTTTTCATGTATTCACTTATACTTGTATTCATAAACGTGCACAACATGTGTGTGCGTTTATGTATTTTAAATTGCATAAAATGGCAGAAATTTATTATGAAAATGAGAGAAGAAATCTTAAAAATTTAGTTAGAATTAAAGAATCTTTTACGATTTTATTTATGTAATATATTTATTAATTAAATACTCAAAAAACTGCATAAAATAAAACGTAAATTAATTCACAATTAAAAATTTTATAATATATAATTAATTTATTTGATTGTGAACAAAATTTCTGTCATTTTTTAATAAAATTTGTTAAATATTTCAAAGAAATTAAAATAAGTTTTATAAAATTTTCTAAAAAATTTTTCGAAATAATTATTATTTATAAAAATAATTATTACATGTTATTAAATGAATGCATTATATTGGGAACTAAAAGTGCTATTTAAGCAAACTCCCATCGCTTACCTTTTCTTTTAATATATATTTACAATTTGTCGAGAATAATTTTATTCTGCCAATATCTATTCAAAATTTTTTATAAAACTTCTTTAAAATTATCACATTAATTGCATATATAAAAAAACAAATTAATATATAAGTAGTTTATTAAAAAAAATTAAAATAATCATGAAAAAATTTCATTCATTTAAAAAATTTGTTAATATAAAGCATATATTCTGTGGCTATAAGAAATAACTGTTTAAATCAATAAAACGTATACACATTTCGGCTAATTCAAGTCCAAAGCTTAAATTTTTAGAAATATTTCTGTCCTTAATTTAGCAACGGTAATATCAGGGTACATTTTTCAAATTTCAGCAGAATTTTTTCAATTTTAAATTATTTTTATTTTTGTAATAGAATAAACTGCTATAACAGACACAAGTTAAACAGTTGTTTCTTGTAATAATAGAATATAACAAATTATATATGTTCATTATATATGTATGTATAAAATACATGTTTTATATAAATTAGAATCAAAATTAAAATAGTAAAAACAAATTTGTTCAACAATATTATAATATTAGTTTAAAATTATAATAATATACCTAAATTTTCTCAGTATTACTGAAAATTTTTAAATAAAATTTTATTACATTATATATATATATGAAATATATACGTACCTAAGGCATGATATATATATATATATATAAAATTTGATTAATATAGGTACTTTTTACCTATAATTTATTTTACAAACGTGAAAAAATTTTATTTTTTTTGTTGCCTTTAAATAGGATTATTAACTTTTATATTATTTAAATATTTTTATTAATTATATATATATAATTTAGTTGAAAAGAAAAATAAAATTATCATTTTATGAAAAAAACATACATATGTATGTATTATATAATAATTATATAATACATATTATTGTTTATATTAAATTTATCCATTAAATTAAATTTTATTTTATTTTATTATTTAAAATTATAATGGATATAAAAATTACAAAAATTGATATTGAAATACTTCACTTATTATGCTTTAATATGTTGAAATTAAAATTGAAAAATATATTCAATAAAAAAATTAATAAATAAAAACATTAATTATATGAATTTTGAAAAAAATAATTAATTAAATCAAATTAAAATTTAAAATGTGTGTATATAGCTAGTGGGATATTAAAAATTTTAAAAATGAGAAGTCTTAAAATTTTTCTGAATTTTTCTTTTAAATTTTCTCCACTACTTTGTTTTTATTTGTTAATAAAAAAAATTAATAAATTTTCTAAAATAAATTAATTATTAATTATAAGATTAATATTGTTAGATAGACAAATAATGTAAATAAAAATATAATATTTAAAAAAAACAATTAATATTAATTTATTTTTTTTTTCATTTTAAATCACGTACCCATACTTGAAGAATTTCTCTTTGATTGAGAATTAAAATTCATCACTTTTTCTAAAATTTATTTTTTAAGAATAATTTATTGTTAATATCAAAGTAAAATAAAAATGACATACAAGAAGACTGTCATTCATATTTAATAAGGTCTTCCAAATGGTTTTAGAAAAATAGAAAGTTTCTTTATGAAATTTAACAAAAAAATTTTTAAAATTAAAAAAAAAATTACTCAATTTCATATTTAATTCAACATTATGAGGGTCTCAGAAACAGAGTGGCGTAAGCCACAAATAAAAATTTTTTTTTTTGCTGCAATCGGTTATCTAATCTATATAGAAACTAATATAACTGACTTAGAAAGTGATATTAGTTTCCAGTTTCGAAATATCCATTTTCCTATTTATTTTTCACAAAAGTACTTTTGCTTTTGTGAAAATTTTCTGATTTTGTAAAAATTTTTTGATTTTTCAAAAGCAAAGTGGCATAACCCACATTGTGGCTTACGCCACTCAGCTTCTGAGCCCCTCATATACAACTCTACAACATTATACCATTTATAAATTTTTTATTTAGAAATTCATTGAGAAATTTATTTTCAAATTAATACATTTCGCCTAATCATATGCAAAATTTTCTCACATGACAACTTTGTTTTAAAAAGGTGTAAAGCGGTTTTTCTAAAAAGTTAAAAATAACAAAAAAAATTCGGAAAATATTTAAACATGGATATGAAACGAATTTAATTTGTTTTGTGTGTCAGATCAAATATTTCAATAATAAAAGCTATAGTATAAGTTACCAGATTAATTTATGATCTTTGATGTAAATGTTAATTATTTTGAGGATCAAAGTTGAATTATATTGCATTCATACAATAGATCTTCAAATATTTTTGTAAGAAAGTTTGCATACTGTACTTTACATATGTAACTATACTCATGATTGCAAAAACAAAAAATAATACAAAATAAATGAAAAAACACATACTCTGACTTTAAAATTGGGAGAATTCTGTATCACAACATAATTCAGCAATTATTACAATTCGTAAAGTGTATTTATCATACACAATCGAAATTTCGAAATCAAGGATACTTAGTATATACTAATTTGTCGAACACGTTATCTATATTAAAATCTTAGTTAAAACTGAATTGTGTAAAACCCACACTTTCTTTGGATAACTAAATGTTTAAAAACTGAAAAATGTAAATAAATTTGAAAGATAAGAAAAATTTTTTGACATATTGAACACATTAAACTGACAAATATACACGTACTTATATAACACTAATTCATATACATGAATTATTTAATTGCTAAATATAAAATTAATATTTTATATTTGTACCTAAAAATTTATATTGATTATTTATAAAAATTTATATACGATAACAGGAATTCTATTAAAATTTATTAACATGTATAAATTTCGATAAACACCTGTGGAATCCACTATACTAGTTTGCTGTACATGCCGGAATATAAATTTTATAAAAAGTATATTGTTGACATTTAGAAGCTCATTTTTAACTGTTATTAGAAGCTTTGAAAAACGCATATTTTTTATTTGTTTATATTTACATAAAAAAAATTCAAAAAGCTTTTATAGTTTTTTTGCTTTAAATTAGTTATTATAGAAATAATAGTGCTAGATATGTAAGCATATATCTTTAGCTATTTAACACTTTCTGCTGTAAAAGCTTTTCAAGTTTTTCTGTTTATTATTATAAACTTGACATTCATTATTAAATTGACATTTACAAAAGTTGGAACTAAGTAGTGAAAAATAATAAAATTTTAATATTTATTTTCATTTTATTGAAAAATATTTAATAGTGTCAAAATTTTATTAAAAATTAATAATGGAAAATTTAAATTTTAATGAAATATTTCCAATTGAGGTAAGAAGTATTTGATTGAAAAATGGAATGTGCAAATTCAAGAAAAAAGTGAAAATTTTTTTTGTTATGTTTGGATGATAAAATTTCATTCCCTTTTGTCAGCTGTGCAAAATATTTACGTGTTTTGTTTTATTTTTTACAAAAATGCATTATTTGACTTAATCAAGTGATAAGTAAATACATAAATATATACAAATAGCTGAGTTCATGCAAACAGAACATGTATGAATTTAATTTATAATATTAGCAAAAATTATTCCATATATATTTATATATATAAATATATTGATAAAACAAATAAAGTAAATTTTTGAAAATTACATTTTCCATTTAAAATAAAAAGAAATTTCTTGTAATTTTTCCCGTTATAAACATAAATAAAATCCGCCGGTTAACGTAATTTTTCAAGGTCATTTAAAAATGAGCATAATATGCTTATATTAGATACGTGAGAGAGCATGCAACTGTATTAAGTATATTTGTATTTAAGAAAAACATTTGAATTTATAGAAAGTAGACTTGTCGAGAGAAACTTTTGGTATTTGAATTAGAAATTAATTTCATTAAACAAAGAAGATTTATGAAGAAAATATTAGAACCCGATCTCGCAATGTATTTTTTAAATTAATCTTTATACGTCATAATTTTTAATACGAATATGTATCTAATATCTACATACACACATATTTAATTGTAAAAGATTATTGTAAAATTTATTTAAATGATTTAAATGAAGATATATGAAAGCTTCTCAATTACCTCACTAAATCATTGTGTAATACCAATTATAATTACATAATATAGGTCATCGGAGCAATTAGATTTAACATGTTTGAGAGAAATTCGAATTTTATAATAAAACCTTGTAAGATCGTTTCGCTTTTGTTTTTGTAGCCTATGTTTCAACAATATAAATAAGTACATAGATTTGAAATATTGAATTAATAAGTTTCAAAGATTCAGAGCTAGGCTATACTATATTTTTTCGTATTTATGCAAGAAAATGGTCTTAGATCATTCAAAAACTTTTCAAATCGCATTATACAATTCTATGATATTACTTTTTATATTAACTAATAATTTGAATATAAATTTAAATATTTAATATGAAATTTTCTAATTTTCAGATAAAATTGCACATATTCAGTTACTTAAATTTTGGCGATATAATTGCAATATCAACTGTTTGTAAAGAATGGTTAGAGATCACTAAAATGGATGATTTCCAAAATAAAATTTCTATAAGATTTTCTGGTGTTTATTTATCTGATATTAAAGAACCTGCATCATTATTTCTCAATAAAACAAGACCATTTCGTAATTTAATTTTAAAAGATTGTGAAATGGAATATTGTAATAATTTTTTGAAAACAATGGGTTCAACATTAAAATCTATAACATTTGAATTATGTAATAAAATGTCACCAATACATTTTATAACAATTATTGATAATATTGAAAATTTAAAAGAATTATCAATAAAAAATTGGTGGGGCTTCGAAAAATTTGAACTTCTCGATACGAATGATAATAATTCAAAAATATTATATTTAAATTATATTGAAAGAGAAAAACATGCACTATCAAAATTAGAGAAATTACATTTACATGTAAAAAATAGTTCAGCATTTCAAGAAATTGCTGTTAGATTAACTGAAGTTAATGAATTAACATTAAAAGATATTTATTTTGATTTTTCTGGACCGATGCCATTACATAAAACATATGTCTGGTATAATTTATTAATGTTAGATAAATTAAATTTAAAGAGATTTGAATTAAATGGACATTTTTTTCCAAGTGAGGAATTCTTTCAATTTTTAATAAGACAAAAAAATTTAAAAGAATTACATTTACGTGGCTTACATTATTTACATGATGAACAAGTTGATTTAATTGCAAATAATTTAGAATTTCTTGAAGTACTTAAAGTACCATTCTGTTATCATGTTTCAAATAGGAGTCTGGAATCTTTGTTAAAATTAAAATATTTAAAGAAATTAGAAATATCAAATTCAGTACAACATGAAGCTGGTATCGATGATGTTGTTACAGATGAAGGTATACAAAGAACAATTGCAAGACAAAATAATGATAGATTATTGGAATTAAGTTTGGGATCAATTAAATTATGTGATAAACAGATGTCATTAATTGTACCGAAATTAAAAAATTTAACATCACTAGATATTGAAGCAAGTGATATTGATAATGATAAAATTACTGATGAATCAATTCAAATTATAATTAAAAATTTAAAATGGTTAAAAAATTTAAATTTAAAAAACAATATAATGGTGAATTTCAATGAAATTATGGAATATAAAAAAAATTTGAATTTTTAAATAAAAATTTTATTTTTTTAGATAACTGATTATGGTTTAACAGGATTAAATCAATTATCAAATATAGTAGATGGTGTACCAATATCAAATTTAAAAGGATTAATAAGTTTAAATTTAAAAAATTGTAATAAACTTACAGACATTTCGCTAATACATGGTATAAAATTTTTGGAATTAAGGCAATTGTCGATTGGAGAACTCCCCAGTTATAAAATGATTGATAATACATTAGTATTTATTAATTCTACAAATTTTACGGAAAATGGTTTTAAAGCTTTAGCAAAAAATTGTCCATCATTAGAGAATTTAAATTTTTCAACAAATAATTGGAATTATTTGGCAACATTATCAATATTTCCAAGATTAACACAATATATTATGTATAAGAATTGTATCAAGTGTGAGAGAACACTTCAAGTAAGTTTTTGAATTTAAGAAATTTATTTTTAAGAGTTATTAAATTTATTCACCTTAAAATTTAGTTTAATAAATTAAAGTTTTTGTGGGAATTATTGTTTAAACACCACTTCCAATTTGAACTTATTTGTAGAATGAGATTTTTTTTTTTAATTTTAATAAATTTACATAGTATTTTTTTAATAAAATATCATATAATTTTCATTTTAGTTCAATTCAATTGATAGACGTCATGTTTGCATCATGTGTAATGTAAATGTGGATTGATATTTTTTGTAATTATTACGAAATGTAATATAAGTGAATTTAGCAACTCAAGCATAATCAACCGGATCGTGGAACAAGAATCGAAGTATCTATTAAAAATATTATGGTACTAATAATAATATTTTACTAGTAAAAAATTTGATATATTTTATAGTTTTTGGTATTATAGTGTGATAATCTTACAAACAAAAAAAATTATTTTATTTTCATTATATGTATTCATATGTATGTTTGTGAATATTGTATGTTTAACGTTACTATTATTCATAAATAATTAAAGCAGTGTAATAACGATTCCTTTAAGAAAATATAAAATGAAAAGTGTTTTTGTCTTATCATTGGACTTAACTGTATAATAAATATCAGACCTATACACAAAGGCGGGAGCGAAAAAATTATGTTTTACTTCTTGTGACTTCTTCATTTATTCAATTTAATTTTATATAAATAAACAAATTAAATCATAGAATAATTCAAAATTCAAAAGTGAGAGTAGCAGTGTACATAGGCGTAAGAAGTTTGAGTAAAAAATTGTTTAACTCGTTTAAAAATATATTATTTTAAATTACCCTGTTAATATCGCAGTATTTCATTTAAATTCATTTATCTAGGAGAAGAAAAAAAATGAAAACTAATAACACAGGTATTAAAAATATTAATATAAGAATACCTTTTTGATAAATATTTTTGCCGATAGAAATGGAAATTTGTTAATTTTGAGAGGCCAGTGCCGGAAGGAGTAATGAAATAGTAAACAAAGTTTTTCTAACGAAAAGATGTATTTACGAAATAATTAGCCCACAGTTTTGTTAAAATCGCTCTAAATCATAAATATTATTGGAAAATAATCATTCAAAATAATCGCTACTTTTAAAGATCCTTCATATAGGTATAATTACATCTTTCTATATGTTTTCCAAAGTACAATAGAAGAACAATCTCCCTATACTTGAAAATATTAATCGTCAAAAATATCTTTTTGTGGGTTTAAAGATGCTATATACATATATTTTTATATTGGGGGAAATTGGTAAAATTTCTCTTAATTTTTTTTTATGAAATTGAAGCTTTCTAACCAAATACTGTTATTTTTTATTAACAAATAAACCTAATAACGTAACCAACATTAAATTTATATGTTGTCGAACTTCCCTTATAATGTTTAAATTTAATTTCTCAAAAATAAATATGAAAAGCTCTCAAAAAATGCGATAATATCAAATTGAGAATATTATCTTTGAGTTTTTCTTTGTTTCGGCCTTCGCGAAATCACCAATATTTCAAATCCATCACAAAGTTTATTTAGTTTGCAAATTGATTTCGTGAAGTTAAAAGCTCTATTGAATAGTTTTATTTTTAATTAAAAGATAAAAAAAAATTAAAGTGGTGAATCATAATGAAAATAAATTGTGTGCGTTAAAATAATTAAAAGTTTTTATGTTAAAGTAAGAAACCAAAAAAAAACGCACATTAGAAATATTTAGAGTTTTAATTCTTGAAATAGCTATGTAAATTTATGTATATGTGCATACATGTAAATATTTTACATATAGAGAATTGAGAGTTCATTAAAATAATGTACGCATAGTATTTACGATAAAACTGCATATCAATGATCAATGATATAAAATGAGAAAGATAAAATATTTTTATCATTTATTTAAATCAAGTTCAAGATTACGTTAACAATAATAAGATAATTTAATATTAAAATTATTTTATAAGAACTTTTTAAGTTTACCAATAAAAATTTGTGTTTTCTTTCAAATAATTTTGTTTTTGTAAATTTATATATAAAATACGCGTATGTATGTGAAGCAGCAAATTATTAGTCACTAATATTTAATCTATACTCTAGCTGGTTGTTAATGTTATATTGTAGTGATAAAAAATCAACAAGAAATTCATACTGAATACTCATATTAAGCTTTTTATTTTAAAAACTCAATATTGTCCACATACAATGCTTAAGAATGTAAACAATAGATTTTGATAATTTAAATTAAAATTTATAGTGAAAGTGATGATAAATTTTTTGTCTACAATATAAATTAAGTTATTTATGTAAAATAAAGTGACCATCTGTCACCTACATATTTCTTAACCGGAATATGTATGAGACATGTTTTACGTGCCTTCATTTTCTTTAAATCAATATTCAAAGGAAATGTATGGATGGCATTTGTCCTGCTTTTTTGATTAATATAAACTTTTAATTAATTTAAGATTAAAAACTAGTATCTTGCTTTTTACAGTGAATTTTGATTAAAGATTTAATATAGAATTTTCAATTTTCACACGTTTTGATACATTGTATATTGTGTTTCTAAATGTAAGAGGACTTTATGTTATACAACAGAGTATACTCAATACAAATAAATTTTTCTTCATATAACTGATCGTTTACATGATTGCATTTTAATATAACTGCTATTGTAGCTTACTGCTATATACATAGTATATTGTATCAATATTCATTTTAAAGAATAGGTCATCAAAATAACGAAGAAATTTTAAGTGTTTTTATAAAAATCAACTACATATGTTACAATCCAACAATTTGTACTTGCAAAGAAATGGTCACTCTATGTAAAATACATTATTGTATGCACAAATATATTGAAGTTCATATGATGTCATAAATAATATGAAAACTTGGAGTGAAATTTCCACAAATAGTCTATTGCCCTTATATTTTATCAATTAATAAGAAGTTCTATTTTTAAAATTTTAATCTTTCCCTTTTGTCACAAAACAAAAAAAAAATTTTGCGTATTATATGGAGTACTTGTAAGGTAAATGAAAACATCGCCTACAAAATTTAAGCTATTCATCTAAGAATTATCGTTAATCAATAAAAGTACTTAATTTATTTTTTAAAAAAAATTTATAGGTATATTTGGGGTCCGAAATATACCTTTAAAATGACCTTTTTAAAAATTCATAATTGAACGTTGAAATCGTTTATTTCCCAAAGATATTTATTCAAAACTGAAACACAACTTCATAAATCTGCCAGAAACTGAACCTTATAATTCATGAAAATGATTAATTTAAGTTCAGTAAACTTAGACATGTGATTAAAACTAGGTTAACGTGTATTTTAGATTCTCAATTCTATAATATTGAATGAAATTTATTTCTAACGCAAGTCTATTTTTGTCGCGATTTCGAGAATCTGAAAATGTTATATTCACAGATGTACATCATACATAATGAATGTTTTCTTTAATTTTCTATGTTTAATATGAATAGTTTAAAGTGTTACCTTTTAAATGATCAACAAACAAACAGTCTATAAACTATGCTGAATAGATAAAATCGAAATTTTCATTTAGAAAAAAAAAATTAATTTCATAAAATTGTTTCCTTCTTACTCTTCAAAATTGTATGTTTCATCAAAGAAATGTAGAAAAACTGGTATTTAGATAGGGAATTTCCCCGAAAAAAAAACCACAAATGTTTTTTTACATAGATATCATATGAATCTCTTTTTTGAAAATAAATTTCTTTTTATAGATTATTAATTGGATAGTTTAGAATACATCAGATCCTATATTGATCAAATTTGAGCTGTATTCTATATTTGATATTAAATTTATAATGTTAATGAGAAGTGATAAAGGTAATAGGTATACGATGCCTTCATAATTAAGCACACCTTTTCACCATTTTTATCAAATGACATTTAAATAGGTACATTGTTATTTACGAATAACATAGTTGAGAATCTCTGTCTTCGAGGGCAAATTAAATTACCTATCTATATAATATAATAATCTGTCTTTGATTGCGTCATTTAATTGTTTTTTAATTTTTGTTAAGCTTAAGTTATAAAACTTAAAAAAAAAATTTGATTTGAAAATTTTAATAATTTATAATAATTTAATTAATTGTGTATTTTTATTTCAATATTCAAATTAAAAATATTTAATGTTAAAGTATTTATTAAATATTTAGCACAAGACTATTTAATTATTACGTAATTTGAAAAGATCATTAAGAGACTGTAATAAAATTTGAAAAGGAAACCATATTATTGACATTTTTAATTTGTCTTAACTTTTTATATCCTTATACTTGCGCTACTGACTGTAAAATTTAAAAAGAATTTCAAAATATAACAAAGATAAGATAAGAAATTTTAAAATAGTGACAAACGGCAGTTAATTGCGTGTATTTATTGATGAATTGTGTTTTAATAAAAACGAATTATTTTTTTTGTAATTGCTTTTCTTCGAATTTATTTATTTATTTAAAAAAAAAATAAAATCTAAACTAAGCTAAATCATATAACAATCAATTTGATTTATACATGCATACATGTGTTCGTATATACCTACATAATATGTGATATTGTTCAATTAAAATTATTTTGCAATAATTTTCTCGAAAATTTTCAATTTTGAATTAATCCTGGTAATGGATTCTACATTAGAGAATAAAGTTACAAAAAATAATTTAAATGTTAAACAAGAAAAATTAAAAAATATAGATATGGATGAGTGTAATTACACGGATAAAGAAAAAAATAAAATTCAATACGTTAATAAATGGATAGAGAAGGAAGAAAATAATTTTGAAAAAAGTGAAGCCGATGATCAATCAAGTATACCTGAAAATTCAATTGATGATCAATCAAGTATTCCTGAAAATTCAGATGTTACTTCAAATATTTCATACAATAATAATTTATTAGACAAATTCGATGATCTTGAAATAAATTCTGCAGCAGATGATAATGACTTCGAATTCAACTACTTAAATGAGAATCAATCTGTTCTAAACAGTATAGATGGATTAAAACAAACCATAACAAAAATAACAAGTGTTTCATCAAGTCTTAAAAATATTGGCAATGTAAGTATTGCAAATTCAAAAGACGTTCGTATTGGCAATGTCACTTATATTACTGGTCCAATACATGTAACAAATACAGGCGGTGGTAACATTGGAAGTATTAAACAAAAAACTTCACCAGACAATCAAAAAAATAAAAAACAAAAATCATTTCGTGTTAATTGTAGTAAAACTGATGCCGAATTTAATGAAGAAAATGCTCCACGAAAAGATTGTTTCTTAGGAAATGATGTTCGTAAGTTATTAAGTTTTAATCACAAGCGATGTTACATTTATAATCATTTTTAAAAGTTATTATAATTATAATAATTACTATAATTATTTTAGAATGTGTTATCCAACCAACTACCTTAAGAATAGTTCCTAGAAGACTATGGTTAGCACAAAAACCAATGAATCCATATGAATATATTGACGGTCCAGTGCCATATGTTGTTATATGTATGTATATAAATTAAAATTATACAAAATTATTACTTCTTAAAATTCTTCTTAATTTAAATTTAAAAAAATTAAAATTTATATAGATCTTTAATTAAATAGTTAATACTAAATACTTGTATGGTTAGAGAAATTTTAAGATTAAAAGTATGTTAATCTTATATTATTCATTAGTATATATTAATCTGCTTATATTATTTAAGAATATCGTTGTCAGTTTTATTTATATTTTTATTAGCTGCAAATTAATGCAATAATTATTTTGTAGCTCACACTGCCACAGAAAGTCCAACAACACAACCTGAAAATGTTCTAGTCATACGTTATATACAAGTAAGTAAATTAAAATTATAATGATATTTAATTATAATAAGGGTGTTATAATATTTTGTGCAATATTACTTTCTATATTACTTTTTAAAACTGCAATTTTTTTCAAGTTTAAACTTTAAATATTGGTAAAATACCCTTCCATTACATAAATTTACAAAGAGATCTTTATGTTATGTAGATTAGATAAGAATAGATAAGATTTAATGTAAATATTATACAAAATTTCTAGGTTTTTCATGTGGAAGGACAAAAATGGGATGATATCGGATATAATTTTTTAGTAGGAGGAGATGGTCAAGTTTATGAAGGAAGAGGTAATACATGCGCTAATTATAATATCGTGCTAAAAACTCTATAACAGCTTCAATATTAATATATTTTCTGAAAAAGACAATAAAGTAAATTAAATCATGCTTTTGTCGTTAAGAAAATGGTTTTTCACAAAATATAAATCAATTCAAAAATTTCAAACGAAAATAAATATCATTTTATCTATTGAGAATAAAATTTTGAATCAGAAATGAATGTTAGAAGGTGCTGAAATACCTTAACTATTTTAAGTATTTTAAATCTCATACATACTTATTGTTATAGTTTTTCTGAATTATAATTCATTTATCTAAACATAACAAACTTTAATTTATGTTTCAATAATTAATATATTTAGGTTTTGGAGTTGTCGGTGCTCACGCACAAGGCTACAACAGAATGTCAGTTGGAATATCGTTTGTTGGTTGTTTCATGAAAGAATTACCAACGGAAAATTCATTAAATACATGTAAATTATTAATTCAAAGGTAATTTGAATTTTATGCTAAATGAACTAGATAATACAGGCGATTTAAATATATGTACATACATTAATTATGTACATATATTTAAATTGATATTAATGGTTTAATGGAAATATGTATACATCTTTTTTTCAAAAATTTTATTGTATAATAACAAATACATTAAGATTCTTTACATTTCTTATTATTATTATATTTTTGTTAAAACTGTATGACTGTTAGTGAGTTGTTATTAATGATATTTTCATTCATTTTCATTACTATTTTTTGAATAAAGCGGTGTTGAACAGGGATATATTGCGGAAGATTACAAATTAGTAGGTCATTGTCAATGCAGTCCCACAGGTACGTTTTTGCAATTTAAATTAAGAAATTGCCATATATTAAAAAGTTCTTGATTCTTTATTTTTTAAATTGGTAGACACAACTAAATAAAATTTGTTTTTATTTAACAGAAAGCCCCGGTCGAATGTTGTATGAAGAATTAAAAACTTGGCCAAATTTCTGCAATATTCCAAAATTATAAATTTTTCTTTTCATCTACTTTAATTAATGTACTTGAAACAATAATAGCAGTTAAGAACAAAACTTAATATATTATGTAATTTTTGTAATAAAATTTAAATACAAAAATTTCATTTTAAATTTTTCACTTAATAACTGGATTTTAATTGTCTAATAATTAATAAAATAAATTTAACTTTTTGTAATCTTTTAATTAAATTAAATCTTTTACCTGATAATTGTCCTATAATTATAGTAATTGGATTATTATACGACATTGCACAAACGGTAACTGGATAATGTTAAATTAAATTTACAATATCATATTATTTTTCCGTTAGTTGTCATAAAGTGAAACTATACGTGTTCTCTAATAAATTGATTGATTAGCTGCGGGAACAATGAAGGCTTTGATAGTTCAATACACAAATACAATATTTTATTAATTTTTGGTTTTTATTTTCACTTTTTTTACACTTATGAAATTTAATTAACAATAATTACGTTTTTTTATATCAAATATAAATTAAATTTCCATTTTTCAGCAATTAAATATATAAAAAATATAAAGGATTGTTTAATATATCACATTAGTATTCTGTTTAATAAAGGTATATTTATTCCATATTCGAAAGAATAAATTTAAGAGATGTAAAAATATAAATATGTAAATATCATATTATGCTTGACCTTTATCAAATACAATTATAATTTTATAATATAATTATATTTTCTTTATTTAAAGTTTTATTCTATAAATATCGAATAAAAACACACTACTCTTAGAAACCTTTTTTTTCAATTATCTTGTCATGGAAAACAGTTTTTCTTTATTATGTCTTTTAATTTTAAAAAATACGATTTAACGTTCTTATATTTACGGTTGATTAAAAAAAAATATGTATTATTATTTATATTTACTAATTGTATTTAATACATTTAAAATATATCCGTATGTGTATGTAAATAATGATTAAATGTGATTGAAGAGTAGCATTGTAACTTCAAATTCATAACTTATATTGAAACATTTAATATTAGATAATTCTTATAAAAGCTGAACAAATATCGAAGTTACAAAACACAGAAAAAAATTAAAAATAAATTTGAAGTTGCTTTTATGCTTGCCTCTCCTATTGCTATTGTATTCAAATATAATACAGAAAAACTTTAAAAACCTATGTACATAGATAATAATTTTAAATAAAAAAAAAAATTCCCTAAAACTTAAAGTATACAGAACATAAACTATTGAATATTAAAATATATTAAAATCAAAATCAGATATATGAAAATATCATAACACTTAGAGTTAAAATCAGTATTAGTTGAGCACTTCTTTCTCCAAAACATCTACCTTCATTGAATTTGCTAAAAAATATTTAAATACAGTATAAAGCTTCATTAAACATTTTTTCATCATTAACATCAAAACACTTCTTTGTTAATCTATAACATTTTCGACACTCTCCATTTGGTAGACTTTGAAAACATTTTATATGATAGCACGTACCACATTTTTCGCAACGTGTAACTTTAACTTGCCAAGGATAAACAGGTTCTTCACTAAAACATATCTCACAAATGAATCCTCGAGCAGCACACAGCTAAAATAGCAACAAAATAAAATATTAAAAAAATTTCATAAAATTTTTAACAAAAATCTTTAAACTTTTGATATTACCACACAATTTGAGATATGTCTTTCGCATTTATCAATTATTATTTTTAAATTCTTTTGCAATGTTCCCTCTTTTGTATCCACAAAATCAGACATTGACCATTTATCTGGATCAACAGTTACGTAGGTTTGTATTTCATAAAATAATTTCTCCTCGCTATAAATCAATGTAACAAAAAATTAAGAGAAAAAAAATGTATATTTTAAAATAATTATATAAACTAAAAAATAATATTTATACTAATAATATAATATAATAATATAATATAATATACACATTATTATATAATAATACAAACTAAAAAATAATATATAAAATACTAAAAATTAATACGTTTCGCTTACTTTTGTGAAAATCTGCACGTAGTAATAAAATCCTTAAGATACTTTAATTGAGTTCTATACAGTTTTGCAACAGCCAAACTCCGAACGCGTTTGTATAATGTTGGCGCAAGGTGGGATAATATAAATAAAGGATATTGCCATATTTCTTCTAATAACCTATAAGAAAATACACTAACGGGATATAAACCAAAATCCCATTTCTTCAATACTTTAGCCGGAATAATTGATTTATGATTACGATGGCATCCTGTACAATGATATTTTCCTAAGTAGTGACAATAACGAAATCGATTTGAATAAATTGGAGCAACACGCATACCACACCCAGCACAACGGTAATTTTGTTTTTGCATTTGAGTTTTACGTCTTTAATTAAAATTATTTCAACATTTATATGTGCAAAAAAATTTTATATTCTTAAAATGTCTAAAACTCACCCAACAGAATGATGGTCTGTAAAGATTATTTGTTTTCTAGGTGGTGCCCAATCTCTCGTTCCTCTTTGAATTTGATGTACAACATGATCATCCGGGTTTTCTGATATATTTACATCAGGAATTGGTAAAAGATCTTGTGGTACATTATATCTTGTACAAATTTCTTCTGATACCAACCATTTAAGCTCTGCTACACGGGGTAAATCTGTGTCATTAAACTTTGATATCAAAGATAAGCCTACATTTTCGGCTGAACGTGAATCAAAACCACATCCCCATTCAGCATAAGCGACATGTTCCAAGTGGACGTTATCGTATGACTAAAATGTAAAAATTTTGTAAAATTATTTATATTTGAAATCAATTTTTTTAATACAAAAATTCTAATTTACATCTAATAATTCATCGTAATCTTTATCTTCATTTGCTGATTCGGCGGTGGAAGGTGCACTTGAATCTTCTTTAGTATCTAAATAACTAGTGGCAGTTTCAACAATTTCAATAAATTCATTTTTTTTATCAATATTTTCGGTTTTTTTGGCTTCTGATTTATCTTTTATGGGATCGGTTTCTACTTTCTCAGCATTTTTTGGCTTTTTTATTAAATTTTTTACAATTTCTCCTTCAGCTTTGGTCCACTTAATATGTTCTATTACAGAAATCACAGCCTCTGAAATTTTAAAATGTGCATTTTCTCGTTCCAAATCGGTATGATTACTTGAAAATAAATTTGTCTTTAATAATGAAGCTAAATTTTGATCATCAAAAATAGTATTTGAACGACTATTATTTGAATTTAGATTTGAAGAATCTGGAGTGAGCATAAGATCATCAAAGACGTTAACATGAGCCTTGATAAGTTTTTCACCATCTCTTGTACAACCAAACGAACTCAGAACATCATTTTTACTTAATGAGTTTGAAAAGGAACCAGCTATAGAGGAAGAATTTGAATTCATACTATATTTGTCACAAGATCTTATTGAAATTGGATCGCTTTTTGGAGAAAAAATATTCTTTGACATAGACGATAAGAAACTTATAGGACTAATTCCTTTTGATGATGTGGATGTCAGTGACGATGAAATATGATTAACTTTTTCGTTTTTATTTAAATCTGCAATTTTAGCGTTTGGATCATCTCGATCAAAATGAATTTTTATATCCGCACTGTTGTGTAAATAATTATTACTTTTATTGTATTTAATGGTTTTGTTAGATTTGTAACGGCATGATGACAATTTTTTGTTGTGTTGGCTTTTCTCTGGGGTTAATTTTTTTTTTATGGCTCCTTTGTCATAAGAGCTTTGAGTGTCTCTGAAAGTTCCGTCAGAACTTGAGCAAACTATAAAATTTACTTTGCAACCGTCATCTGGTGTGGTAAGTTGAGATTCTGAAAATACATCTATTTTCGGACTAGATCCACTGAGTCTGCGATATTTCAATTGATGAATGTCCCTTTGTGGAATCGACATTGGTTGCGAAACAGTTTGACTGCGTGGCCTCTGTTTGAATGTTTCTGCAATATTTGGTAAACTTTTACACTTTCTCGCAATAGCAAATGACAAATTTAAAGCAGATTTTCTTTTTTTTATTTCATCAAATTGAACTAAATCGTGAACTGTTTTTTGCTCCAAAGGTATTTCGGTAGTGAAAAGTGAATTGATTTTTTCTTCTTTTTCTGTAATGTGATAATAAAACATTATATTTAAATCTTTTTAACGATGGTTTTTTCTCTCTTAAATTGTTCAAGGTAAAATTGAACAAAGGATATGAATACCTGGAAGTATTCATTTATTGCCATAAATACAATAATAAACAAGTATACTTACCTACCTATATATATTTTAAATGCAATTTGTGACAGAAAAATTGCAAATTAGTATATACCTAAATAAATAGTATAACTTACCTTTAAATTTTGTATTTGGAGAAGTAGAAAAATGAGGATGAGAACTTGATCGTCGATGCGATTTATATTGTTGCGTTTCGTCAACAGGTATATATAAACTTTGGCTGGCAAAATTTAATAAAACGGGTTTTCGCAGTTCAACTGCAGATATACATATAAGGCATGCATTTGAATAAATTTCATCTCTTAAAAATGCATTTTCAGTGTAATGAGTTTCCATGAGTTCTTTGTCTGATAACAGAAGTTGAAGATTTGAACATAATGATGATTCACCAAATTTTTCATAAATCCACAATGATAAAACTTTTGAAAATTGCTTTTTATTTACAACATCAGAAAGTGAAATATCAAATTTTGAGTTAAAAGCGTTAAGCCAAAACAGGTCATTAAGAAATTGTTGATAACTTGCACACTATTAATAAAAATGTTATTATTAAATATTTTTGATCAATTTTAAAAAACTATTTTAAAATACATTATCAGAATACTTTAGACCATTTAGTAAAATTAAGTTGATAGCCTCCACTAACTGCGTTGTGCTTTGTTGATCTACTTTGTAAAACCATAGCTCTGCAGATTTTACAAGGTACAAAAGCAAACCTGGTAAATTTTCAGTGTGAAAGGTCGACTGCATCTTAAACCTATTATTTTCCATATGTATATTAGAAAATTTAAAATTTTTATTGTTAAATACTTACAATCATAATGGACTAATCATAATAAATTTAATCTTAACTAATTTTTTAATTGTTTACGAAAAATATTTGTATTAAGATAATTAGTGTATAAATTTTAGTATTGTTTTCTTTTTTATATTGATATTTGATAACATATGATATGATGACATTTTCGACAAATGACAATTTATACTTCAAGCGCATTGCCAAAAGTTTACAATTCTAGTATTGTACTACAATAGCAACCAAGTTTAAATTTGTATTTTGTGAAAATTTCAATGAATAATTTATAGTGAAATACATTTTGTGTAATTATTCTTATATTCACTATAGAGAATTTCATAGAAAAATCCTCTGGTTTTTTTACATTGATTTTTAAGTTCCCCTATTAAAATTCAGAATATGTATATCGTGTTTGGTTTAATAACATTCAAAGTTAAACAAAATGTTGCACGATGCTATTAACACCTAACTTCCTACTACAAATCTATACAAGAAAAGAACCAACTTCTTTCTGTCTTTTTGAATTTTCAAATATTATTTGTCTCTTTAAAATCTTTTCTATTAAAAAAAAACGTTTTCGATCACAGTACAGTAAATCGCATGCATGTTATAATAATATTATAATCTCATTGTTTTATTTTCGATAAATTGACATGTGGTTTAAGCCTATATAGTATATATAATAATAGATATATAATAATAGATATCAATTGTTGAACAACTTTTTCAATATCAAAAATTGCATTACCTTGGTTTGGAGGAGATTTCGAAATATATTTCACTCATTTTGAGTCATTGCTTGTAAACGAATTATATTTTTTGTTTGTTGGTTTTGAGTGTTTTTCATTTTATGTTGTCAAAATTGTCACTCAAAAATTGTTAAGTTGAGGTTTCTTTCCACTTCCGATTTGTATTTGGATTCTTTTAATTTTGGCAGTAGAATGGAAATGTTCAATTTTAATTTTATAAATAAAAAACGTGTGTTTAAAAATTACAAAAAAGGAGAAAAATGAAGAACTAGTCGGTTTCTGTACATTTAAACAGTATAGTAATAATTAAATTGCAATGGGTTTGCAATTAATGAGCCAAACGTGAGTAAATTTTACTTAAATTTTGTATAACAATTGAAAAATGGTAAATTTTTCTTTCTAATGAGTTTATTTAAGGAATAGTGTTAAATTCAATCCGAAATTTAATTCAATATTAATATAAATTGTATTTTTTTTTATTAATTTTTAATTATACCAATTTCTTAAGAATTCTCTGTACATGTGTGATTTTTTTTGTAAAGGAATAGCGTGGCGTGGTCATGATTAATACGTTCAGATATAACCTTTATTCATTCATTGAATTTTCATTTAGAATTATACTCTTGCATTAGTTTAATATCGGAAAATAAGTTATATTATCCAAATAAATTTATAATTCTCTAAAATGCATATTGCCTAGTTTAGTCCACTAGGTTCTTACCTGTTTTCCTGAGGTATTACTATTTTAAAACTATTACACGTGGTTTTTTCGTATTTATTCACCAGGGGAAGTACTTCTGATTCCCGCCAAGTATAAATCTGTACACAAGCATGTGCATTTATAGTGCACATTACATTTGACCCATTTTTATATACTTCCGCAACCGCACAGCAATATTACATGCATATTATAAAATGCAAATTAAACGAATCTACATATATATGCATGTAGGAACTTAGAACGGTTAGTAGGTTGACTTATACATATGTTATTTAGTAAATAGGTAGTTTAGTATCTACCTGGCTTGGTTAATTTGTGTGATGATATCATAGTAGACAAGCATATAACTGAAATGTTTTGTTGAATACTTTTTGTCTGAATATTAAAAAAGCAATTCTAAATTTTTAAAAAATGTATGTACCTACCTTTCTACAGAAATACTAAAAAAATATTTTCCATTTTCAGGGAGTTCTATGTACCTACATAAATTTCACAAACGGATCATTTGAAAATGGTTAGTATTGGTCGCAATTATTTAGTATGGTGAATTTTCAGAAAATATAAGTGATGAAATTTGTCATGACGGTCTTCATAAATATAGTTGATGAAAAAAATGGCCTTTTTACATCTGATTTATATTATACGTTTTAAAATTTAAATTTAAATATGCTTTTTAATTTTTAAATATTGTATTTTGTATGATTTCATTGTATCTGAGTATGTATGTTAAATTGTCTTTTTCATATTTTTGCAGGCTTATTTAATTTTCATTTCACCCATGGACAATTGCTTAAAGTGGCAGCAAAATAAAAGAATAAAAGAAAATAAATCTGAAGTTATGTTGGTTTTATTGCAATGTATTAAATAAGAATAAATTTTCGAGCTTGCTGCTGAAGAAACCAAAATAGATAAAAACAATTTATTTAGGTAAGAAAATATTTTTTTTACATTCGTTATAAATCTTAAATTTCTACGTTAGCACAAATCTAAAATATTTAATGATGATAAAAGTTATCCCTATCTTAAAAGGTGTGATGATAACAACTGTGGTACTTTATAGCTGAATATTTAAAATAATTTAAAAGAAAAGCAAAAAACGATACATATGTACATACATTTACCAAGAAATTTTTATTTCAGATGGGTGTCTACTGTGGGGTTCAATTTTAATCATCGAAATAAAATTGTTCAGCAGATGCAATAATTGTACATCTTATTCTTTTTAAGCTGTTATTTTAAGAAATAAATGTTTTAAGATCTAATTTTTTATGCAACAAAAAAGCAAGACTTATTGTTTTTCATTATTGACATTAATTGTCATAACATAATATTTTGTAGGTAAATACTAAGGCATATTGGTAATTGGGCTCATTTGGGTTTATTTAATAAATTTGTTGGTGATGAGAAGGATGTTCCCCAAATTTTCTTACCAATTTTGTTTAAGTCTTTATTTACGGAAATCTTACCAAGTTTTTTATTCTTTTGAAATATAATTTTTAAAAATTTAAGGAGAACTGTATATACATACATATACTCCCGAGTTTTTGTCCTGGATAAAAAAGGACTTACAATAATTGGGACATGTACTGAAAGATCTAGAATCTAGATTGAGTATTAAGTCTTTTCACATAGAAATATTTTCTGAATATGTAACACACATCACTTCAAGATTCAACATTTTTATATTATGCTCTTCTAATTAACAATATTTTTGCAGTAACAAAAAAAAATGAAAAATTCCTTTTGAACTTTAAGTGCAAGTGCCATTTTCGAAAATCCTATTTTGCAGTTTGGATTTTATCAAACACGGTTTACATTAAAAACTAAGTTAGAACTGAATTACCGAAGTTCTGTTTCTGGGATAAAAAGGTATGTTTTGAATATTTGTCATTATTGTTACTGCTTGTTCTAATTCTAACATAGCTGTAGCAAAGAAATACTTACGTTATTAGATTTAAAAAATCTGAAAAAGACAATTTTGGAGTTAAGTTGTAACTTAGGAATGTCAAACTATGCTAAGTGTACCTATGAACTAAGATAAATGTAGCATTACTCGGTGATTCGATACTTTGGATAAGGTCCAATTTTTAGTTAAAACTAAATAAAACGTGTATTAGATACGTATTCAAATTTATACAGTGATCTATTTTAAAGCAAAAATTTTGCCTTTAAAATAGATTCCGAGAAATATTTTAATTTAAAGTTTTGTTTATTTAAATCCGCAGCACAATTGATTTTCTAAATCGCAGTTCAATGCACCATGTTTATGTTACTATCTACAATTACAATCTAAACTTTATCATTAAGATGTTAAATATCGAATTCGTGAAATAAAATATATTAGGTATTTAAGTTGCATTCCGACATAAAATTTTAAAACATCGTCTACACTTTGATTGTTTCGATAACATTAAATTAGTGTGTAAAGTTGTGTTTAATTCTTTAAATTTTAAAATCATTCAAATTATTTCATATATTTCGCATATATGTATGTATGTAATTTCTTAAGATATTTTCAAAATGTGTTGAATTGGAAACAAGTTTGTATAAATTTTTAGAAAGACATACAATTTATTTGAATTTTTGATATAAGATTTTAACAATTTTTTGAAAAAGCAAATTTTGTCCACAAAGGCTTTAATTTTTAGTAAAAATTATTCATAAAAACTCTTATATTAGATTATAAGCTACAAGAAAGCAATTTTTTTTTTTAATTTTCTGCCTTTAAAAAGATATTGAGTTTCAAAATACAAGAGCATTACTATTTGCTTTTTAACAAAATAACCCAAAATTTTTTAACAATTTTGATTAAATTTTAAAATAATGAATTTCTTCTACATAAAATTTAATTTGATATTAAAATCTTGATTAATGGTCAAGTATATACAAAAAAAGACTTAATATTATAGGTATAATAAACCTAAAACATTAGCTGTAGGTATATATTACATATTTTTATTATGTCCTGAAAAACAGAAAAGAGAAAAGCATAGTCTTTCATGAGAAATCATAAACAATCAAAATTGTTTTCTTATTCTTCGATAAAAGGAATGTTCTCTTTTTCCGTTTTATACGATGTATTTTTATTAGAAAATACCAAAAATATCTTTGGTTCCTTGTTTATTTAGTCCAATATGACCCGTGTTCTATTGATAAATTTAATATCCTTTTAATATCCGGACGGAACAAAATTAATGTAATACCTACTCGATTTCTTTATTATTTTGCAATAGGCAAAAGAATTTTCTTGGTTAAAAAGTTGAACTTAATAAGGTGCAAACGAAATATTCTGAATTACTGGTTCAGAATGTAAGTAATGTACATACATAGTTACTTTTTAAATGTAACCATAGTTACTAAGTAAAATCTTTACCATAGTTACTAAGGTAAACTGAGGGTATCTATAAAGGAATATTTTGAATTATTTGAATGGATGTCGAGTTTGTGTGTGCACACGCGTATCTTAAGTTGGGTTGAACCGATTTTAGTGAAATTTTTTTTATGACTTTATTTTGGCAATGTCACGGATTGCTGAAATTTTTTAAATCATTTAGCTAGTTTATGTTGTCAGACGTTTTTGATGTTATTTTCTTGATGGGGCAGAAGTACATAAATCAAACTTATATCTTGTAGTTGTCAACGATTAATTTCAATGTGTTTGTGTTGCGTAACTTCCTCTTTTTGACTCATTTTTTAGTTTATTAATTTTACTTTAATTTTTTTGGTAAGTAAAAAGATTAAAGTGAAATCCTTTGATCGAGAAAAATTGCTGTACAAAAAAAAAGAAAAATTTTTAAAGAAAATTTTTAGAGAAAAATTATTGCTGCAAATGATTTTTTGAATTGTATTGTTTCTCTAATTTTGATATTTTCAGAATTCTGTTGAAGATTTACTTGTTGGTGGTGAACGAGAAAATTTCATTACCTGATTAATAAAAATATTTATAAGATTTATAAAATTCTTAAGTGCATATGTATCTATAACTTTGTTATTTTATAGCATTTAAGTACTTATGGAGATATAGCACTTCGAATTAAAGTAAAACAAATAAGACAAATTATTTTGAATGTCGTGAATTTGGATTCATTCGAAATACGTACAAATATTTTCTATTTTTATCTAGATATAATTTCTGGCATATACGCTGTCCGCCGAACAGTTCAACATTTTTAAACTCTTTGCAATTTCTTTCTTTTTTGTTAAAGTCCCACGATTCCACACTTGAAGCATTATTCAATATACATAAGTAGTTGTATGGTTAACACAATACTTCTGTAACTTCTATGGAATTAAAATAATTGCCTTATTCAAAACTTTTCATTGTTTTAAAATAATTTGTTAAAAGTATAATTTGGTAGAATAAAATTAAACATCTTTGAGCCCTTTACTGTTTAAATCTAAAAAATAGATTTTAAATCAAAACAAAAATACCAAAAGTATTCATTTTTATGATTCCTATAGCTTCTTAGAATCAATTTGGGAGTAAGTGTCTTTATTGCAACTTTAAAAAACTGCGTCATTTATTTTCATAATAATGCTGAAAGAATATTTTAATTAATAATAATATAATAAGAATATTCATAAAATAAGGGTTTTAATTTTAATGTACATATGTATGTATTTAGATACATATGTGAATTACATTATAGAGAAGAGGAATCATTTTCCATGTGAATAAATTTTTAATATTCTATAATTTCCTTTTTGTAAACTTGATTTACTATAATTACAATTTCAATTATTTTCTGTGGTGGATTTTTCAATATAATTTATTCTTGTAAGCAGCAGACTAAGTATGTACATAGATACTAAATAGGCAAATTTTAATTATGTGCATTAAAGAATATAAATTATATTTTTTAATATCGTAGAAGAAGGCTAGAAACACCTGGTAAACTTGAGAAATTGTTCAGATTACTCTTTCACGTTTTTATTTTTAATAAATTTTTGACTGAAAATTTTATTGTTTTGAGTACATGTACGTATAATGTATGTGTGTTAAATAAATAATGCTAATTATTTAAGGTTTTGTTCTTTGGAAGCGAAGACAAAATATATTATAATTATGAGAATATACATAATGTGTAGTTATTTAAAATTGTAAATTTGGTTGATAAGATAATTTTAAGAAGAAATAACAATTTGCGGTTAATTTAAAGAATCTCCAGTGAGTAAAATGTATAGAAATCTTGTGCTATAAAAATTATAAGATCAAGTAATCAATTAATTAACCGTATATAGGTACAATAAGTCATTTAATAATTTGTAATTCTTTAATTTGTTCTCATATTCATATATTTTATATAATATATGTATGTATGTATTTCTGAATTTGTTCTGACGTATAGAGATAGAATTTTTAATACATTATTTTGGCAAATCAAATTCGCATATATTAAAAATTTATGTTGAAAACACAATTTTGTTGTGCTTTAAGATATTATAAACACATAATAATGATATTCCATTTATTAACCTTCAAATTCCTATGTGTATAGTATAATAAGGATTCCAAAAATTGTGATTTTGTAAAATTTGTTAAAGTTTAAGTCATCGTGATATTATAATATATGCTATGAAAAATGTGTACATCATTATGTACGTACATACATATGAATGTATATGAAAATCCATAATAAAAAATTCTTAGAATTGTCTTTAATATACTTATATAAGATAAAAGTGGATTAATAAAGTATCGTGACATTCTAATTTAATCAACTTTTTCCATTATGATTCTGCTTGAAAATAAAATTTACTTATTCAATTATTTTCATCTAAAAATTTTATCACTATTTTGTATACTTAACTACTACATGTGCAATATATGTACATGTGTGTACATACATTACATATGATACATAATGTAGCTTCTACTTGTATGTAATGATATATGTATATGTGTAAATTTTAATTTAAAGTTCATCGTCCCGTTTTCAAAGTCAAAGGGTATTGTTAATATTGTAGACGATTGTTTACAATTTTTCAGTAGCATACGTATTTCAGTAATATACGTGCTTATATGTATATATATATGTATTTTTTATATATTTACATATAAAAGTGTATGCATATGAATAAAACCTTTAAATCATTATCTAGCTATTTATATTACGCATAGTTAGTTGAGCAAAAATGCAAACATATTTTAAAAATCTTCATTGGTATCGAATGAAAATTTATTTACTTTTTAGAATTTTGCATCATAATTTGCTTGTGATACGGGATTTGTTTAAGTTCAACATACATACATACATATATTAACTCTATTGCTTGTTA